AGAACAGTGTAAGCGTTCAAGCAAACCACTTCTGAAGATGCAAGCCACTCGTGCTTGCGAAACGTCAAGAAGAAATTCTACCGAACGACGGCCTATAAACGCAAAAAACGCATTAGTTTAAAGGATTAAGTTGTTAATACCTTTGATATCAGTCATGGAAAATCCACTTCTCATGATATTTTCAATGTGTGCGGGATTTGCGGTCACTGATTGATCGGCTTCCACTTTCAGCCTATGTTGCCTGATTTTGATTTCATTCCAGCGGCGCATTTTCTCCTCCTCCCTGCAGCAGCTGAGGTTTACAACTGCTCGATAAATTTCCCAAACGTGGACTTACGTTATAAACTCCTGATGGCAAATCACTGGAAGACTAAGTCGTAGAAACTCCCAGTTCGCTTTTTCCATCGTTTCAAAGGTGTTATGGCTGATTTTCAGACACGGGGGACTATCTGATCCGGCTAGGATTCTGATTACGTCGATTTTCGTATCAGGCATATCGTCGGTGTTTTCGAAAATCGGCTGGTCTTTTGTATACCAGTATGTTACTGCTCGGTTCATGTTGCTGGATAAGAAGGAATAATCCATGTAATGTCCAGATTTTGTCCAATTTCAGAATATTTTTACACTCCAAAATAGATAGTCGACCAAAATAGTACTATTTAAATTGGATATTAATAAACTTGCATTGAACCAGCATCGACAGCAGGAGCAAGGCGTCATCCAAAAATAAGCGAGCTAGAAGGACTTGGACCTTTTAGAAGGAGCGTTTGGTTTTGAAGATGTGGATGGAACTCACATCTAACAATCACCAACGCCATAACGATCCATCACAGACAAAAACTGTTGAGAATCGGCATTTCTATTTTCTTAGAGTTGGAAGAATGCTAAAGGAACAACCACAGAATCGCCTTCAAAGCGACAAAAACTATGAAATAGCGGCTTAGATCAGCATCTGGAGTCTACAGGATTGCATGCAGTTGCAAGACTAGAGAAGCTGCAGATTGGGACAGAAAAAAGTCTGCTGTTGCAAAGAACACACTTATGGGATTCTTCCTAATTCTCCTCAAATAAGCAGATGGTTTCAAGAGCTACCAGGGAAGCCATTAAAAATCTGCTCAGATCTGCTTCTTGTGTGTAGAAGCTTAAGTAAATGTCTGCATTTTTTTGTATTTCGCCACTATAGTCAATAAATACTTACACGCAAAATGGTTCATATCCTTCCTGCAATCCGCAGGTGGTGAAATATTTCAACTGGTTTACATCTTGCCCAAAGCAGAGCCGCGCCTTTTGACCCACTCCCAGAGTGAATGCCGGCACAAAGTTATCGCCCTGTACATCCGCAAATGTGGTCTCGCCACCGAGGGCGTCCATCAACAATTCGCCGTTAAGGGAAAAACCTTTAAAATAGCAAATAAATCTGGCCCCTCATTTTTTGCAAAAGCGGTTAGTGCATGCCGATGTGTGTTAAAAATCAATCAAACCGCAAAAAAATACATAGAACATAATTTGATAAGCTTCTGAAGACATTGATTATTTTCTGGAAACGGTAGCACACGTTAAGGAAGAAAGGAATTACTGCGGTTAATTGTTTGACTTAGTCAGAAATATTCGAAAAGCAAAGCCGAGAATAAGGGGTGATGGAGGAAAGGAAGTAGAAGATCAAATGCTTCCAATGGCAAAAACCATTTTTGCATTAAAAAAAAGTACCGTAAATTTTATGCAAATATACAGTAGGGTCAAAAGTACAGTTGTTGGTGCCCTGACAGTTATGGGATCCCGAGAATAAATGCGCCCTTAATAATAAATGAAGAGAAACGAAATGTTGTTTTAATCAGTGAACATCAGTAATTCACACATTAATACGGCACAAACTACTGAAATTAAGCGTCAAATTTTGCAGTTTCTACGCATTTTTGATTGACTCAATTACTATGTAACGCATTCCCACTATTTAAAGCACTCTGTGCCAATAACTCAATAGAAAGTTAGTTTATTTCTTGATATAAAGACAAACTTTATTTTTATTATTTGTTTCCTTTTTAATTTATTTTCGTTTTTATGTGAATCTTAGGATTATTTCCTGATTAAAAATTGTAAAAATGGATCCGCAATCACGATTTTGGATAAATATGTTGCCAGCATGTAAATTTCAATAAAAGGGCAGCATTAAAAAAATAATTTCGCACTGAGTTAACTAAACTGAAATTAAGTGAAATGAACTCAAATTTTCACAAATACCGAAATGCATGCAATTTTTTTCACTAAAAGGCTCCAATAAATATAATCAGCTAAATAATAAAAATAATAAAACGTGACCCTTTCGAAGTTTGCGTCTGTTTTTTGTTGCGAAGCGAGATTCGAAAGAAAGTCCAGAAACAGAAAAAACTGTATCGGAAATTGTTTAGTCGAGAAAAACGAGATACTTGGAAACAAATATGTTGAGCATATTTTTTCAATAACATCGACAAAAAGATTTCTTTTTAAATAATTGCCTTTTTGCTTCTATAGTGCAGGAGTTAGGGTCTTAAATGAACTTTTCCAGATCGTAATTCATACAAGGTTAAACTGAGAGGCTCGACTTTACTTAAGGAATATATTATTACATAAAAATTAAGCGCAGTTGCTTTTTTGGGTATATTGGAGCACGCTCAAGATCCAAAAAGCTAAGCAAACGTAATGCAAACATTGAAGCCAATAGTACTAAAGCGGCTAGATTTTGGTAGGATTCGAATAAGCAGAGGCAAAAGCGGCATGAAAGCATGTGGCGCTGCCCTTACTTATAGTGTGATCAATCAGATCGAGAAAAACTCCAACTACATCTCCCAATTGCCACTGCTTTCCAAACGATTCAGCCGAATTACTATACACTTTTTCCTCCTGTGCAAATATAAAAATATAAAGTTTAGCAAGTTGATTGACTCAAAACAGCCCATTAAATGGCAATTAGACCAAACGAACATACGACATGAGATTAAGGAACACTAGAACAGACTCAATGATGGGATGAGACGCAGTAAAGCTTACTTATGAGCGAGTCTGTAAGGTCCAAAATGCAACCGATTACATCGCCAACTTGCCAGCGTTGTAATCCAAGCGACTCGCAATTACCCCCATGATATTTTCTCAGCTGAATCAGTATTTTATGATGTTTATGGAAAACAAGGAAAACTGGTACTTACGTTGTAACCGTCGAAAGCCCAGGTGTTTTCATCGGAACCCAGCATTGAACCTGGAGCGCAATCTGCCTTCGCCCATCCAACACGCATCGGGCCAGCAGTCAATATTTCGAATTCAAAATACCATTTTCCTGAACCAACTGCATAGTTCTTTTCAGCTCTTAAATAGAAAATGATTGTTAAAATTGGGGTTTTCTCTGGACTAAGCAAGAATTTAACTGTAAAGAAAATCTGTTTTTTGTAAAGATTCTCCTAAGATCCTAGAACTGCTTGCAAAATTTGACAAATCTGGGTCTGTTTGCAATACAAAAARCTTTGCTTGCTGGGAAGTATGGGATGAGGTKGATTCCTGCGAAATCCCACTGTGTTCACCGTTCTTACCGAAAAAAACCATTATTTCTTGAGCACTGGCCGATAGACAAATTTAAATATCACACACCTCAGAAATYTTTTTASAGTCGAAAAAACTGTTCASWCTGATGTCTCAAGACTTTTCAATTTTYGCAGTTTCAGCAACTACTGCAGCTTACCGGTAAGTTCGAAACGCTTGCTGTCTGAGTCTGCTAGCTTCGGCCAAAAGAGTTTCTTGTTGTTCACCAGTGGGCGGATCAATCACATATCCATACACTAGCAGAGTCCTAACGGTCTCAGAAGCTGTGTCTCGATTGGCTTTTTTAATTGCATCGTCAACTTTGTTGTATGGCACCAAATGGGGGCTACGCAACATATCAGGATCCTGAAATAACGCTCAATAGGTGAGATGATATTTAAAGTTTCTAAAGTTACAACAATGCACATTTTTTGCATTGAAAATGCCTAATTGTGAATGAGAACTGGCCCGTTCAAAAAAATGTCCATCTTGCTCCAAACTTATATATCAACTAGAGGAGAAAACTATCTTCGATCTGCCGATGAGTCTCTAACTCTTCATTTGATGTTCGTTCCCGAGCAACGTTTTTTTCTTTGACTTGGAGGCATTTTCAGTAAGAACTTTATCGCATAGCATTCAAACTAGAAAATATCTTTTGTTCTTCAAATATTCTTTGATACTCTGGCTTAGTTTGTTCCTTGTTTTTTGCTCCTTTTTAATAGCTTTCTAATCTAATTTTCTTCTATACATGATACAAAAGTTGCGTCTTGAAAAAATCCAGGTCCAGACTCACCTCATTTAATCCATAGGTCCAGGCTTGCTGAATACGTTCTTTCGCCCAAAGATTGTGCGTATTTTCGGCCAATTGATCAACCAATTCCTCCAATTTTGCAGTAAGAGTTATGGCGCTTAGATCTAAAGGAGCGGGTTTATAACCATTCCCCTGCATAAATGGTTCATTTGGCAACCGGACAGTCTTAATTCTGGACGGCGGCTTGTCCATTGTTATGTAATAGCCCAATGCAATTACGGTCCTGATAAATAAATTAATTAAGAAACGACTACATGGCAATTTGTCACGTACTTTAAGGTCTGAACAGCCAGTTGCGAATCGTATCGTTTTTCGGCGGTTGGCAGCTTATCAAATGGCACCAAACAGGGATGAACATGTCGTAAATCGTCCCTGTATTCGCCCCAAGCCCAGCCGGCCTCGATTTTATTCATGGCCCACATTTCATGTATATTTTCCGCTAACTTGTCCTTGATTGATTCAATATAACTGGGCAAACCAACCTGTTGAATAAGTAAAATATTGCGGTCTAATTCAAAAATTACCACACTTGTACCAACCATGGAAGTATCCACAGGATTGGGCACAAAAGCGGTATCATCTTCTATTAAAAGCGGGCCTGCGATCACGTTCTTGTTCATGTTTCCGAAGTAGAAGCAAGAATCGAGGTTGAGAATCTGTTGCGGAAGCAGGCTTTCCACTAAAGGAGAGAACTCTTCTGGAGGACAGAACTTCAGCTTGCCGTGATCGCCGCCGAGCAAAAAGCGACAACTAAAATGCATTCAACAGTTTTTTACATATTTTCTTGCATTTTCCGTGATGATTACTCACCTCAGCTTAGAAGAGCAACTGATTACGGGAAAGAACATTCCATCCAAGTTAAAGTTTCTGAAACTGCCTCTAATTGGGTTGCCGTTGAATGTGAAATATATTTGAGGAATAGTTAAGTCTAAGGCACAACCAATTACATCATCTGCAAATAAAATATGTGACTTTTTAACCAAGTTAGGTACTAGAAAATTGGAAAACGCCATAGGGAAAAACGCGACGAAGAAATTTGTTTTTAACCAACCAAGAACTAAGAAGAATATAAGCTGTTTGATAATTCGACTCAAACATGCTTTTTCCGAAGATTCTCAAGCTTCATTTGAGCCACAGAATTCGTTTTGGAATCGTTAGTCAGAACTACTTGAGTGAAGAAATTCGAGTAGTTTTGACCCAGAAGGCAAAATTTGAATATCATACAGCTGCTTGGTTTAGTACATTTGAATCAATGATTTAAATACTTGCTCATAAATAAATGCAATGCGTACTTTAAATTTTTACAACATCGATTTTTAATGCTTTCAAAAAATTTCGGATTTTATTTAGCAGCTGAATATAAAAAAGAAGTCTTTCGGGTCAATAAAGTTAATAAACTTCACAATAATCAGATGCATCAGCCGTTTGAATGTCCAGGTAATTGTTTTTCAAAAAGCTAAAGCAAATTCTGAACGTGACCCCCCATTCAATTCTCTATCCAACGATGCCAAAACCAATTCTGTGGGTCGAAAGGTTCTTGAGAAACTTCGAAAAAAGCAGCGTCATGTTCAAGTGGATTTTGAAACTCAAAAAAAACCACGCAAATCTAAAACTTCTTGAATTCAAGCATTTTTTGAGAAAACTGCCAACATTTCCTTATCGATGGTTCACTT